TTCAAAAGGTATTTAGTCTTTGAGTTGTTCCAAATCATACCACTCTTTAATGGGCTCAAAGTTATCTGCAAATGCTGTGAACTCAATGGTCGCCAATCCTATTATTTTAGCCTTTCTTTTGAACACACGATGTGATGAACCACTTCTAGAGTAGACCACTATTTCCACGCCTTTCCACTTTCTATCCATTTGAAAACTATCAACAAATATAAATATGATCAATGACCATGATCAGTTGCAAAAATAAACAAGTACAGTTATCATATTTGTTGTCATTTCCCTAACTGTAATATTGTGATGAAATCAAGTTTATGAGATTTAACATTAAAAGGGTTGAGAATATAAACTTATACAGTATTTCTACGGTAATGAGACAACGTTAACGTTAAAACCTAATCGATTCTGTTGTACAGTATAACTATAATCACTGAATTTATCGTATGAGGCAGTGCTGTGTTTCACTTACTTTTCATCAAATATCGGATGACAAGTGTTTCTTTTAGTGCCAGTCTTAAGACTATTATCTCTAAGAGTTCGTGAAATTTTATCCGGAGTACCAAATATCTTGACGTAAGGGTTGGGAGTCTTATCACCAATTTTGGGCAAATTCCTATAACATTACATTGATTACTATAGTCGCTATTGTAATTTGATTAACTGTAACATATGAGCACATACTCTGCTTTATGCACAATAAGACTTAATCTATTATCAGATTCTGACGGTGTGATTGTTAGTTGTATTCTTGGGTAATCACATTCATCGTAATCATCTGTATTTTCTGCTGCTTTAGACCTGTGTTTAGATATTTTGTTTCATATAATTTAGTCATTAATTGTTTGATTATTTTAAATGCTAATTCATCGAAAGGCATACCCATTAGCTTTCGAAACGCTATGTTTTCTATCCATTTGTGACTTATCCATGAAATTTGTTTTCAAACCACTCGTATCGATGATTGGTTGCACTGTACCTCTGATGATGTCCTCCAAAGTGGGAACTTTTGTTTCCTCACTTTCATCAACGGGTTCTTCGAGTATAACTGGAGGCCCACCGGTATGTGTGGTTGTCTGTGGTTTTAATGTCCTCACCATAATATTAACGTTGAGCTTAGAGTCAGGTCCCCGACCTTTTATAGCAAGGGGTTGACTGAATGATAAGTGATCACATGAAATAACATTCTGGAGCTTCAGTTGAGCCCTTCCTAAGTCTCGATTTGTTTTGCTGTCAAATATATCGAAAGTTAACTCTAAGTCTTGATTGAAATTTTCAATGAGAAAATTGAAGGTTTCCTCCCAAATAGGATTAGCAGTAGATCTCTGGACAATACTTTGTCGCTGTTGTTTTCCCACTGATATCAGACAATAGGGGTCGGGCTCTCCCGATGTTTTGCTAATTACGGCTAAATTGTTTGCGCCGTCCAAATACACTGTGATAACGGCCACTGAACCACATGTTTGTCCATCGAATTCATCAGTGCCTTCAATGGGACTGTATTTACATTTAATTGATTTACTTTCTTCGACGGAATCGTTGAGTTGTTCCATACAATCACTTAATGCAAACCAAGTGGTTCTCACGTGAATGGCTCCCGTTTTTATGTCTTTCAATGTAAGCCACGATTCACTCATGCCTTCGGCCGATATAGCCTTAAGTGAGAGATAAGCTCTGCCTAAGAAGTCATCTTTGCTTCCCTGGTCCTCATCCATTACTTCTATCTCAATATTCTGGTCGTGCAAGTGATAGACCACCGCTTCGCAGATGTAATTCCATTTGGGATTCACTGTATTGTAAATGACTGCAGATTTGAATTCTTGGCTCCCGATTGTGAGCCTCACGTATGGGTCACTCTTTCCCAGACCTGATATCAATGAGCCATTAGTGAGACACTAAATGTATAGGACATCCGGTCATACCTAACATCCCGACGTCACTCTTCTTTAAATTTCTCGCTTCAATCACTTCCATCCGAATGACTCCAATCGGTGCTAAACACTTAATTGATTTCATTGAGAGGCCGTCAATGAGTGGGATAACGATTTTGTTGGGAAGAACCATAAGAGCCGCCAATTTCTCTTGGATGGCATGCCTTAAGTAATTACTGGTTTCCCATTCACAATATAATCCATTAAGAATTGCATTAAATATATACATTTTGTGCGATTACCTGACGCCTGGCGTATCTAAAATGTCGGCCAAATTAGTTAAATTGAAATCAATGGCAGGATTATTGAGAAAATAGAAAGAAACGCTTCCGACAAGTGGTATGTCCTTAAGTAGTGGCCGTAACTCAACCCGAATTAATCCATATAATTGCAAGTTCTTAATGCCTGCTTTCATGCCCATTACCCGCACCTGAATGTCACAATTGCCGGCATAACTGATTGACAAACAATTTTTACAATGAGTGCTAATTGTAGGAATCACTGCAGACTTAACTGAATCTCCACATCGAATATAATTTCATCTCTCGATGTGTTTTCATCATAACATTTAACACTTCCAATGCGTGCCGGCTATTGATTAGCAGTTATGATAAGAAATACCAAATTAGATAACTTTGGACTGTACAGTACAGTACTTTATTATTTATTTGCGAAACTTACTTCTGACCCCAAGTCTAATCTTTCAAATTTGAAACTCTTTAAATAGTCTGGAAGCGCTGAAGTGATGTTTGGTTCGATACTCTGTTTAATGACAGTCTTCATGTACTCGTGAATGAAAGGCCACATTTGTTTCATAATCTTATTGATCCATTCGGCTCTTTCTCTATCCTGAAAAAGTCGGTTCATGAAACATTAAAAACTATTTATTTATTGATAACATTGTCATAAATATTTCTCATTTACCGTATAGTTACAGTATAATGTTTAAATTGCATTCTTATAGCTTTGCAATAATTAAGCAATGCTTACTGTAGATATACACTACTTTTATTTATAATTAATGATTTTCAAAATTCTTGAAGTCCTTGAACAATACAAACAGTTTGTTCAAAATGAACAAATTTAAGAGATTTAATTGCATCTTAAAATAAACTAATTGTTATCTATATATATATAATTATAACAGCCATCACTATAAATTAATATTGTAAAATTTAATGATACTGTACAAGTACAATTTAAATTTAACTAAACTGTTCCAAACTTTTGCAACTTATTATTTAAGTCCTGTTTAATTGTTACTGTAATCATTAATGATGAATTGACAATTCACAATTGTATTGTTATTGTGACAACAGTACAGACATTATAATTATGTGAATGAGGAGAACGGCATAGACTGCAAAGCTCTCCGGTTAGTCACTAGTAAACAATATTAATGTGTATAGAATTTCACAATGTATTGAGAATTGAGTTCTGAATTTATATTCTGAGTACAATTCTCGAGTATAGAATATTCAGTAAATTACCGGAAAGTGGACCCATGAGGGCAAGTCTTTGATGGCAGAAGTTATGGCTAACTTCTCATTGGAAGCGATAGATCTCAAGAGATTAACTTTTTCTGTCTGTTGAATGAAGTATTTGTATCGCAAAACCCATACAAATACAGCGA